TTTTTTTTTCAAACAAGGAAGCTGATGTCTACCAAGAGAAGTGTCCCAGGTCTCAGAGCCAGTCGCTGGACGGTTTAAGACTAGAATCAATTTCCTAACCACTATGGCTTAGTTTACTACACAATATACCGCCTCCTATACAAGCACAAAAAGAAGGCTCACCCCAAATATATCAATAATGGAATACAATAAAACAAAATGGGTTTATCTTTGACTTGAGTTAAGGAAATGACTTCTTATAGTATACAACCCTCTTATGTTTTTGACCACTACCCCTTTTCTTTCAGCTAACTTCCACTAGCCTTTGATCCCACAGAGATTTCCAATCTATTGATCCTATCACTTTTCACCCTCCCCAATCATCATTCTTTCCTCTCTTCTCTACTTACCAGATTTAAAATCTGTGGTCAATCATTATAATAATACTAGAGGCTCAATGTACAAAATTCATACAAGGGACTCGGCCCTTGCAGCCCCAGCTTCGTCAGGAAGGTCATCCAGACAGTAGTTCTGCTGTTTGGTCTAACTAGCATATTAGCTCTTAATTATATAGGATCTTTCTTGCATACATTCACAACCCCCTGAAACTCCAGTTAAATTTTTCTCTTCACTTGCTCCATGCCTATACACCATGTCAGTGAATACAGCAACCTACTGGCTAATTTCACTTTAAATATGTGATCAGAAACTTTTAAGTGGGCTCTTTAAGGCAGCCAGACAAGCTTACTGCACTTCCCCAGTTTGTACACTCTCCTTATTTAACTATTCACGCTTTCTCTCTCCTCCACCCCCTATCACCTCCTCCCATCCTCACTCTCAGTAGATGACCTTGCTTTCTAATCGGAGAAAACTAAGGCAACAAGAAGAAAACCTCAACAGACTCCCACCATCTCAGCTATCCATCTTCCAGAACCTGCACCCACACACTCTGCCCTATATCCAAAGTAAAGCAATGTCTTTTCCCTTGTGCACTAAATGTGTACCCTGTCTCACCAACATCATTAATTTTCTTTCTCTATTGAATCATTCTCACGTGCATGCAAATATGCTGTTATATCTGCCATTTAAAAATAAAAACCTTATTAACACTACCATCCCCATTTCTTCTTGATCCCCTTTGCACAAAAACCCTTAAAGACTTGTCTATGCTCACATTTCCAATTCCTTCCTCTAATTCTCTCTAAACACATTCTAATCTGTGTTATACTACTTTACCTGCTCTGCCAAGGTAGCCAGTGACACCCCATTGCCAAATCCATGGTCAGTTATCAATCTTCATTTTAATTGGCCTTTCTGCAGCACTGGACTCAGCTAATCCCCTCCCTCTGAAACCCTTCTCTGGCTTCTAGGGCATCACAGCTCCTGGTTTCCTTTTACCTCCCTGGGAGCTCCTTCTGGTCTCTTTTAATGACTCCTCTCTTCTCTCCAACCTCCCAATGTCTGAGTGGCCCTCATGTCAGTCCTTGCTCTTCTTCTCTTCTCTGTATCATTTATTTCTTGGAGATCTCCTCAGTCTTAGGCTTTAGATAACATCCAAATGCTGGGAAATTTCTACTTTATATCTCCATTCAGACATCTCCAGGCTTTTTCAACATCTCCAGCTACATTTAACATTTCCAAAATGTTATCAAAGTTATCCTTAGCCTCTAACCCCCTAAACTTCTCTACTTTGGAGCCTTCCACACTGCAGCCACTGGCAACTCAAACTTGGTCCAATTAGAAAAGATGGGATCACTTTTCACTCCTCTCTTTCTTGCAGTTACCATATTCAACCCAGCAGGAAACTCCATTGGCTCTAATTTCAACTACATCCAGAATCTGACCACCTCTACTGCTGCCACTCTGATTCAAACTATGATCATCTTTCACCCAGGTAATTACAATAACATACTAACTAGTCTCTCTGCTTCCATCCCTGCCCCAATAGGCAGTCAAATTGGTCCTTTTGAAAGGTAAGTCCAGTCACATCACTCCTCTGAAAAACCCTGCATAGACCCACAAGCCAAACCACTTACAATGCCAATGAGGCCCTACTTCATCTAAGCCTCTGTGTCATAGTGACCTCATCTCCAACCACTGCCCCAGCTGTTCACTGCGTTTCATCCAGCCAGGCCTCCTTGCTCTTTCTCTAGCATGCCAGGTACCCTCCACCTCGGAGCTTTACACTGGCTGCTCCCTCTGCCTGAAATGTCATTCTCCCAATATCCACCTGGCTAACTCCCTCACATCCTTCGGGTCTTTGCTCAATCGTGTCCTCCTCAATGAGGCCTTATATTACCATCTTATTTAAGATTGCTAAATCACTACCCCCTTCAGAATATTTTTATCCTTTTCACACTGTTGTAGTTTTCCAAAGCAGCTGCCACCTTGAAATATACTAGATAATTTGTTTATTTGTCTGTCTGCTCCCACTAGAACTTAAGCTCTGAAAAGGAAAACACTTTTGTCTGTTTTGTTCACTGATGTATTCCTGGTGTATCGGAGGTGCTCAATTAACACCTGTTGAAGGAAGGATCTATTTCCCCTAGCAGTCCATAAGTAACTACAGGCTAGACAGGTGCTTTATTCATCTCCATATCATTTATATGTATCAGAATAAAACATATGTATTTTATATCAGCCTGACTACTAGCACTTGTCCAGGACAAGTACTCATTTCCCTGATTGGCAGGGGTGGCATCAGGATGCACTAACATGAGGCTGATCATTGATGCATATTCTCAGGTGAGTCCCCACCTATTTCTAAAATGGTAAACAGCATGGGTATCAGGAGATCATCCCATCCTTAAGGCCTCATACACGAGCAGTCAGAAAACCGGAAAGTCACCTTGCCTTGACATATTATATATTCCTCACCACAGTGTCTTCATAAATACTCCATCCCCACAGACGTCTCCCAAGCTGTTGATCATGCCTGGTAACAGCTAAATCAGTTGGCCATACTGTACAGGTTTGCTTCTCTGTGTTTGTTTACTAGTGAAAGCTGAATGAAGAGCAGGATTGTTTCATGGTGCTCAGCTGCCTGGCTTTCTTCCAGCTCTCTCCTCTCCTATTCCTTCACTGTGCAATCTCTTTCTACCTCTGAAAGCACAAGAAATCTAAGTCATTTGATTATCATGTAATTCTCTCTTCTTGTGAGCTTCTCTGCCTTCACTGTTTGAACTCCGTGGCCTGAAGTTAGGTTAAGTGCCCGTCTTTATTCCTTTTACCTGCGGTTTCTGTCTTGGCCAACGCCCATTCCTCTTTTTATCTGGTTACTGTAGGGCAAATGAAACACGTGTACCTATTTCAGCAAGTACGAAAGGTAATAGGAACATGTCTTTATTTAAATGTCACTTTTCCAGTATTCTTTTTTGTTTGTTCTTTATTAACCAAAATTCCATTGTGATAAAAATCATAACAATATACTACCGTGGGTCTTGTAATTTCACAGATAACTTCTATATTCTCTAAGAAGCCAAAATCCATGGTTCCTTATAAAAATATTCATGGGTAAAATCTACAGAACCCCCACATGGTATCCTAGTGCCTTCACTTACTTTTTTAGAGTTAAAAAAGAAACCCTTTACCAACAGAGAGGGATGAGTTTTTGAGTCTGTAGTACAAAGACTTCAAACTGCATTCCACAGCATGTTATTTTCTTTCCAGAAAATTCTAACACTATATAATTACTTTTGTGGGAAAATGAATAATGTAAGCCTCTAATGCTAAAAACAGCTAGACAGAAACCATCCAAATCCGATAGGCCTTTCCTGAAGCCAAATGAAATATTTAAATAGAAAATATCTGTGTAAAGACAGCCCATGGAAGAAAGCTCTTGAATTATTATTCAACAGAGAAGGACCATAGTGGAGGAGAAAGTTACATGGGGGGAAAAATAGTGTTTTCTGGTTATGTGTCAAGGTTTGTCTGCTTCAGATGCACTGCAATGTTGCTTGTACCCCAAAATGTCACAGGGGAAAAAAATACAAATCAGAAATGTTTCCAGGAGCTTCCAAGCCTTCTGGTTATAAATAAGCAAAAACATAAATTAAGCGCCATCCATTGCCACAGAAGTGCATTATAGAAGTGAAACCCCACTTGCATGGGAATGAAGCCGCAGCTTACTCCCCCAAGAGAGAAACAAAGAAGCGAGCTCCAGTTAGGTCGCTTGGCAGAACTAATCCCAGTAAACACAGCCAGTGGGTTTGTGTGTTGGGGGAGGGGGGCGAAGTAGAGCGTACCTCCTCTCCCTCCCCTCAAAACTGCTCCGGTTGGAACCCGGAAAACATCCGTGCTTCAGGACCTGTTTAGCCAGAAGAGAGTGGGTACCACCGAACAGAATGGGGCTCGGAGGAAGCCGCGACGTGCGGAGGGCAGCGCGGGCGGGTGGCCCTGTCGCGCCTCCACCCGCCCCCGCCCCGCCCTGGCTCCCAGCTCCAAGACTCCGGACTGAGAGAGCTGAGCAGGTTCTTTCTCTGCCGGGGATCGAGAACCTCCCAAGACGTTTTAACAGGAGTCATTCCCGCGCTGCTGGCGTCTCCGCAGCCGGAGAAAGCAGGCTGACCCAGCGGGAGCCAGGACCCACGTCTGGACCCGCCGCCCGGCTGGCTCCACCCCCGAACGTACCCACCTGCATACTCGGCACCCCGCCCGCAGCCTGGCACCCAGTAGGGGCTTTCTGAGAGCACAGCCCCAAAGGGCTGACTTCCCGCTAAGTCCACAGCCATGTTCATCTCCTCGGGTCGTAAATAAGCCCGGGGTGAAGGGCCGACTGCCGTCTAGAGAGCTCACCAGGTCCCCTCTGCGCCTCTAACCCCTAAGGCTGCGACCGTTTCCAAACTCAGAGGAACAAACGACGGGGCCCCCAAGGCGCTTCCAAGGTTCAGCACCGAGGACAGCGCACACGCGTTTCCCCCAGTGACCCCGCGAGGGGCCAGGCTGCAGGTGTCCGGACGGCGCTCCCTCCCGCCTCCCGCCCCTCTCCAGCCGGGCAGCCCCGCGGCGGGCGGGCGTCTTACTTTTCTGGCTGGAGGAGTAACCCGGGTAGTAGCCATAGTAGCCGGTGATGCGCAAGATCCGGTCCTCGATGGTGGCCACCCCGTTGGGGGCCGCCTTGACATCCATAGAGAGCGCCGGGCGGCGGCCCCGGGCTTGGCGGGGCGCAGAGGGCAGCGCGGGGCCCGGGAGCTGGCGCAGGTGTCGCCGCCGCCGCCTCCGGTGCCGGTGCCGGTGCCGAGGTTGCAGCTGGCGCTCTGGCGCCCGGGCTCTGACTGCACCGCCCGGCGCAGCACGGGCTCAGCATCACAGCGGCGGCGGCGGCGGCCCCCACTCCGGCCGTCCTCTCCGCCAGCCTGGCAGCTCTCCCGCCCGCCCGCCGCCCGCCGGCCCGGCGCAACTCGGCCCCAACAGCGCCCCCTCACCTCCCTCCGACTCCCACCGGGCGGCTGTGGGCGCCCCACCTGGCCTCCCCGGCTCTCCTCCTCATTAACCCTTTGGCGCCCCTTCCCGGAAGGGTAGACATCCCCCGACCCACCTGACTGAGGGATGCTTGGTCCAGGGGGGTGGGGAAAGGGAGGGTGAGGTGGTGGCAGGGCCTCGGCGGGTAGGGATTCAAGTGGGGAAAGGGCTGTTCAGAAGAGAGAGAGATGCACCCTGTGGCTCGGAGAGGGGATCGATCCCTCGGGGCGCCTGCACCATCTGAGCCAGGATGATGAGCAAGATTAACGTCTACACCCCAGGCGTCCATCAGTTCTTGAAACTTGCCCAAAGGACAGTCTTACTGTAGGAAAAATAAGGCCCCAGCAGGTGGAGCATGCAGTGGTTGTCCAGGTATGATGGACCCAAGGACTTGAAGAGATCCAGCCACCAGAAAGGTCTGACGGTCTAGGTCAGGGGCCCTCCATCCTCCCAAGGGGAAAAAAAAAAAAAAAAAAAAAAAATCTCAGGCTTGGGAGACGCAGCTGCGCACAGCATGTTTATTGTGCCATTCCAAACGCCCAGAGGAGAGCTGGTTTTCTTCTTTTCTTCCGAAAAGGCGGGGAGGGGGGGAGCGGGGGGGGGGGGGGGGGAGCCCTTCTAACTGTGGCTGTCTGGGCCGGTGAAAGTTTTAGCTACAGTCTCCAGACTTCCCATGGAGTCTAGAAGGTCCTTGAGGCTGTGTGCTCAGAGGGGCACCCTCCCCTGGCCCTCGGCTGTGACTCTGCTGTGACTCTGCTTGGACAGGAGACCCACCGGCTGGTCAGAGAGCAGTGGGATGGTTTCTGTTTTCTTGGTTTGCAGTCACAGCCTCCTGAAACAGAATCTTCAGTGATTCACCTCAGAACCTAAAGGTGTGTGAAGGGGTGGGGTGGGGTGTCAGCTCATCAGTTTAGAGGTCATAATGTCCACCTTCCATCCAGAGCCAGCTGCAGACATCCCTGCCAGATTTCACATTTCTAAAGATTGGGGGGAAGGGGGGAGGGGTTGAATGAAAGCATGTAATCTTCAGTGCCTCTTCTGAAACCACCAATGAATCTATCATGCCATTCTGCCTTCAAGCATTTTCCATATTGTGTGTGGGTCCTTCAGAGGGAAGAAATATGCAAACTTTTTTAAAAAGATGAAGTGTAAGCTTATAAAAATGCAGTATTACATGAGCTGGGAGAGGTCAAGGGGGAGGGAGGAATAAAAAGGTAAGTAAGTAAATAAATAAATAAATTGCAATATTACATTTCACAATGTGTTGAGGGTTTTCACCGGGACACAAAGCCTAGCACAGAATCCTGAGAGTGGAGTGAATCTGAGACGATTGTGCCTGGGAGAAAGTTCATAATGAAACCAATTTCCTCCCACACCTGCTTTCTGGGCTAGGAAAGATGGAAGGGTCGAAATGAAGTAAAAAGTCAAAATAAAGTGAAAGGAAAAAGCAACTCTATGCATTGGTGGGGAGCTGAGCATTTAGACCAAGAAATGAAAGGATAATATTTCCACTGATACCACCACACCCTGAAGCAATTTTCAGCAAACGTTTATTATTTTTATTTCTGTGGCAAACCTTATATAAAATGTATGCATTGTACGTGGTCAAATGGATTGATCCCATTAATTGATGTCCTTTTTATTTAGTTTCTATAAAACAAATTTGTCTATATTACATCTAATATGTGTTTTAATAACATCATAATCAGTAGCATATTAACATATAAATTCAATAAGAAAGAAATTAAAAAACAATTTAAGCAAAAACCTTCTAATGTAACAGGAATATAAATATGCAGAGACTTGAAAGACAAGTGGCTTTGTCCTATTAATGTTTATAATTTATCTTGCCATAATTAATATATGCAAATTCTAAATTATACTTGTTATATAAGTTCTTGCCTTCTTCCCAAGTTCTGCTTTGCTTACAGAAATTTCCAGAGTAAGTGAAATGTATTTAACTGGATTTCATTCACACAAACAGCAAATTCAACATATTTTTAAGTAAATATATACCCATGAGAGTCTGTTTCTAAAAGAAATTATAAAATTTCTCAGACCAACCTAGAAATTAATTTTAGATGGCAGAGCATTTACAAATTTCTCTGTAATCATCTATCATAGGGTGACTAAAACAGTAAATTCAAGCAGATGCTATACTCTAGGACACACTTTTTCATATTTTTCATTGATTTTATTGGGTTGACATCAGTTAATAAGACTATAGATTTCAGGTTATACAATTCTGCAATACATCATCTGTATATTGTATTGTGTGTTTACCAGCCCAAGTGAAGTCTTCTTCCATCACCATTTATTCCCCTTTACCCTCTTTACCTCTCCCCACCCCCATCCCCTTTGGCAATCACCATATTGTTGTCTGCATAAGTCTTTCTTTTTTTCTTTGCTTAATTCCTTCACCCTTCTCACCCAGCCCTCACCCATCTCCCCTGACAACTCTAGGGAACACTTTTTTTTTTTTTTTTTTAATGAAATAGAAATTCTAGAATTCTATGTTAAGAAGCAAATTTCTGTTAGTAATGAGGACTCTTTCATACACTTGATAAACATTTTTTTAGCCTTTCAGATGTCATCTTACATTAAAAATGATTGAAAGTGTTTTAAGGGGAGAATTTTAAAAAACATTTTTATATGTTTGCCTCAGTCTACCAGTTTTGACAAGTGCAATATAGAAATTCCAGTTTACAAAATGTAAGTTATCCATGTGCCTCAAACCTGCCCTGAAATATAAAGAAAAATATAAATAAACAAATGAGGAATGAAGGTAGTTATTTAATTAACAAAATGGTTCCTTATAGTAACCAGAGTCATATAGGCAATTTCCCTAGTAAATCAAACAGTAAACTAATTTCCTACATAAATCTTAATTTGACCTACAAAAATTTGGTTTGTATGCAAGTTTACAGGAATATATCTATTACAGTAAGCACTGGGCAGCTGTCTGTGATTTCAAGGGACTTTTGATATCTGGACCATATTTATTTTGATAGTCTGTTCTAGTCAGATTAGATATGATCACTGGGTGTAAATTCTATTCCAGGATATATAGTCTGTCATCAGCTTTTATACTTTGGAAGGGTTAGTAAAATAAGATCCATGCAATCTAGTATTTCTTACTTTGATTAGCAGCTAGGAGTAAGAAAATCTGGGGATTAAGTCTTTTCAACCACCTTTTTGGAGTTACCAAGGAAAGATGCTGAAAGAAGAGAATATGACCTTTTTTCCCCTCTGGGAAACTAATATAATGTACCTCCCTCCTTGAGCCAAGAGGAACTTGGCTGTTTGGAGAGCCAAGAATTTTTAAGCTTTAATACCGAAGGGCCAGTTTTTGCTTTGTACAATCGTCAACACAATCTATAAAGAGTTGACCCCACATAGTTTGCACAGTTGGTGTTTAAAAGCATCTGGTATCTAGCCAGCAAGGTGATAAGCACTGACATCTTGGAAGAAAAAAAGAAAACACGTGGTCTTCATATTCCATTTTCAGGAAAGCCATTCTGAGTATTCAGCCTCCAAGTAACCAGCTGCCCACTTGAAATGCTAACACTGCTTTCTGATCCAAACCTTAGGCAATGGCAGGTGTTGTTGTTAATTTACCTTTCAGCTCATGGCAGGACTGAATGGGGCTGGGAGCTCAGCACTCAGTGTCTAAGAATCAAACTCCATTTGAGTACTGTTTCTGAGGCCCAACTTTGGAAATGCATTGAACTTCTTTGGAGAAAGCCTTAATTTCAAAGAATATACTCAAATTCTATAAATTATTTACAACTCCTCTCTCTCTCTCTCTCTCTCTCTCTCTCTCTCTCTCTCTCTCTCTCTCCCTTTCTTTCTCTTTCTCTTTCTCTCTCTCCCTGGCTCTCTTTAGCTCTTTCTCTGTCTCTCTCCCCCTTGCTGCCCTCCCTCTGTAACTCCCTTCTTCTCTTTTCTCCTCCTCCCTCTCCTTCAGTCATATAACACAGTGATTTAGATCATAAACTTTAGGGCCACTCTGCCTGGAGTCAAATCTCACCATTTTCTAGGGGTAGGACCTTGGGTACGTCTCCTGAACTTTTTATGATTTAATTTTCTCATCTGTAAAATAGGAATATTGTAGCTATTGTACTTACCTCATGGAACTATTGTGAAGATTAAATGAGTTTATATTCATAAAGAGTTATAACCCTGGTTGGCATATAATAAGCTTCATAAAAGCTAGCTATCATTATTATTTTGATTTTTGCGTGCACAAAACTCTCTGAGCTTGTTTTCTCCTCTGTAAAATGGGCTCATACTCTCTTCATAATAGTGTTGTCATGGTGGTTAAGTGAGATAATATATGAAAATACCTTACCAAGGTCTGGCACATAGTAGGTACACACTAAAAACTCATTTTCTCCTCCCACTCCACCCCTGCCCTGACCATTATTTATTATTTATTACTAAAGTTAATTCACACTTTAACACTTCATTCACATTACTAGGAATTTCTTTGTGGCAATCACTTTAGAAAGTCTCCTTTAATCCTTTCAACCATGGCAATAAGCACTTGAGACAGATCTTGGAACCACATTGGCAGGCCAATGGGACAGATGAGCTGCACAATTAATGGGCTTTGTGGAAAGAGAAGCTGCTGAGGATCAGCAGTTATTCATCCCTTTGAGAAGACCTGGGAGCACAGAGAGTTTTCTTCGAACTGAGAATGGGACACAGACCGGTGGTCCCCAGGCATGGGAAGGACTCAGGTCCTGCTAGATGACAGTGTCCCAGAGAAGTGGAGTGGCCTCAGATCACAGTGTGGTGCCCAGGAGGAGACTGGGTCACTAGCCCTGGGCTTCCAACCTCAGCGGAGATTCCGGTGCCCCCATGCCTGACCCATAGGCAGCAGAGCCACCAGCTCAGAGGGATGGAATGTGAGCTTGACTAGTTACATCTCAA